TATAAGGGAAACTCAGGACAGTAGAAAACCAGGACAGCACCTCTCTGTATTTAATGCTGAAATTAGCTTTCAAGTTTAAGACCAGTTTTCAGCTCCAACTCATAAATTCTACAAACTAAAATCAATACCTAAGTAACTTCACAGCTTCTGGAAGGTTAACCCCTGCATAGTCCCTTGCCCCAGGGCAGGAAGGATTGTCCACCTGAGAAAGGAATTTAAATGGCAGCAGTGGGCCCAGACTCTGTTCTTCCTCCAGAAATCCTGTCCAACCAGAAAATCCACTTGCCTATGCTAACATAATAGCTTCTTTCTAAGACTGTTGACCCTCCTCTCAGGCCCAGACAGCTGATTGTGGCTGTCACTGCTGAGCCTGGACACTGAAATCCTTCTCCTGCAGGGTCATCAAGAGCTGAGCGGTCTTGATGCTCAAGGTCGCTCCATGTCCAACCCAAAATCATTTTCGCTATCTAGACAAGCAAAGGAGGCGGCTATCCACAACAGCCTAATGAGGAAGGATACTCCTGCAATAGTGGGTGTGACAGCAACCAGTGCCAGACTGGTGAGTATAGGCAACTGCCTTTCACTGTTCATGTATCAGGAGCATAAAACATCAGCTGCATCTTTGAATCTGGGCTTTTGCCTGCTTTATGGGATTCCAGTTTGTCTCTTCATGTTTTATATCAGCCCAGGTGCATGCTTTCCTGCAGCCCCCTCTCTCTTTCCATTTAACCTTCCAGAACAGTCTTACTCTAAGTCCCTTGTCCCTTTGGATTTGTTCTGCTGCTCCTGTTTACAGCCAAGATCTATCCCACACCCCAGTCCATCCGTTTTCAGTCCCCTTGCGTCCATAGCAGACTGATGAGTGTTTCTGACTTGTCTTGGCTTTTCTTTGTTGCACAGAATTTAAGGAGCCCTCCATTCCAGAATAAGGATGCTCACCCTTTTCTGAAGTCCAGCAAAAAAATGTTCCAGATCACAGCAAATATGGGAGCTGCTGGAGATCCCAAGGCATCAATGGGCAGTTACTCCCAGTCCTATGGAACAATATGTAAATCTGCACTCCACAGTCTTCCAATATTAAATGTACAACAGCACTGAGTATGCAGCAGCACTGACCAGGTGGGCTACATTCTATCTTGCCCATCCATGGCCTGCAAAGAACAAAGCACTGGGGTACAGCTCCCCATACTGGCAGTTGGCAGGCCCATCCAGTGTGAGAGAAGTGCTGCACTTATCATATGGAACACCACAACACTTCTCATGAGTAAGGCAGAAGTTACAATGTGGTATCACTCCAGTTTCTATCTGAAACCTGTGCTGACACCTGAGAATGCCAGTCAGGTGCTGCAACATCATTTGCTCCCACACAACACTGTTGGCACAGTTAATTTTATGTACTCCTTGTACAGTATCTCAAATCATTACAGAAAGCTGCTTTATTCTGCTGCTCGACTGTTGTCACAGACCTCAGGTTGTTCTTTCCATCTTTACCAGGTTCAATCTACTTATATGCACCGAATCCAGATTTTGAAGAGGAACAGGTAATTGGCAACAGGCCATTCTCTGAAGCCCAAGAGGTTTCAAATTACAATGGATAATCTTGAACATCCTTTACCATATGTTCCCACGAATTCCTATGTGGCCCTTTCAGGATACAGAAGTAGTAATTAGAGCCCTCTTTTGCTCTAATCAGACAGAAATTATCTTCTAGCTATACATTTTTTTCTCCAGTGTATTTAATACCAGAGCTATCATATATTCTTCTGTTATTGTAATAAATTGCTTACAATTCACTGCAGAATGTTCCTTCCTCTTATGGCATGTCGTTTGCTATGTAAGGTAGCGAATGATAGAATATCAGTTTCTATGTCTAATAATTATATGTGTTTTTCTTTTCCTCTCACAATGCAATACTCTGTGAAATCCCATTGTTTTGGAGCAGCTATAGTTCTGAAAGACTTTACAAAGCTCTGACATGTTAATGTAACCCAGGACTTAGTAAGTGTAAAGAATTGTATAATTAATAGCATATCTCCAACAGCATTTTCACCGTACAAAACAAAGGACCCACAGTTAGGATTGATGCATGGGTAAAGTGATGCAGAGAGATGTGAATGTGTCAGTGAGCAACTGAATTGATCACTTCGTTGTTCACGTCCAGACTTTTTAATGTATAGCTTTGATGCAGAAAGTACTTGCCTACTATAATAGCAAATAACTCAGATGTTTGTACACATATATAAAAAAGATCTTGGACCAGAACATAATCTGATGTGACTCAGTGTGGCACTGTTAAAAGACGCTGATTCATACTACTTGAGAATCTAGCCTGTATGTATTTTATTGCATCTTTAGCCCCTTCCATTTTGCTTTTTTACCCACACTCTAAAACATTCTGGAGAAGCAGCTCTTTTTGTATGACATACTGCATAATGTGAGATAAGGCTTCATGAGTTTTATGACTTTTATTTTCTCAACTATAAACATTCCATTGAGTTATGTACCTCAAGATGCTATGTGAGATGTTTTTTTGTTCTCTGTTGTTTTTGTTCTCTGTTTCAGAATAGAAAGGGGAGATAGAAAATAAATCAGATAATCTGGGCAGGACACCCTTTCTTTTTGCCCAGTTCCTGTATCATTGATATCACCTGTCATGAAAATGGCTTCCATTTCACAAAAGGCATTCAGATTCCCATCATGTTTTTCATGTAGTATCACAGATTTGGAAGGGACCTCAAGGATCATTTAGTCCAACCTCCTGCATAGGTACAAGATTCACTGTTCCTGTGCCATCCCAGGGAGATGCATATCCAGCTTTTCTTTAAAAAAACTCAAAAGAAAGATTCCCCAACTTTTCTCTGGCCAGCATTTCCGTATGGTTCTGACATTTAAGATTCAGTCAGAATGTGCTTTGCTGCATTTTAAACCCACTGCCTAATACCCTGCCTTATGTGGCACAGGAGACCAATGTTTTACGTTTTTTGGCATCCTTTGAAAATATTTTGAAACTGCTTGTAATGCCTCCCACTCCTCCCCTCCCCTTCTTTTTTTTTTCCTACACTAAATATACTGCAGTTCTGTGGCCCCTTCATCATCCTTGTGGCTTACCTTTGGATCATCACTTCTTTCTCTATATTGGTTGCAAAATGCTGTGCCCAGAATTGGACTCAGCACTGAGCAGAGAGATGTTCTCTCCTCCTGTGTTTTTCCTGCAATGCTTGTTAATGGAAGCCAAAGTTGCATTTGATTTTCTTGAAACAGCATTATATCACTGAAGTGTGTTGAGTCTGTGATCCCTTATAAATCTCCAAGTCCTTCTGGACAGTGCTACTGCCAGCCTAGTTATTTCTCCTCCTGTATTTTGGTTTCTTTTCCCTATATGTAGCTCCTTACATTTGTCTGTTGAACTGTATGTTGCTGTTGATAGCCCACTTCTCCAGTTTTAAGAGCCCTTTGAATCTGAACCCTGTCCTTTAAATTGTACCTCCTCCTAGGTTTGTCTCTGCAAATGTCAGCAGTATGCTCCCTATCCCTGCATCCAAGGCTTTACTAAAACTGGTAGACAGCACTGGATCCAGAACCAGACCCCTTTGGACCTTTACTTGAGACATCCTGCCAGTCTTGCATCAGGTCATTTATAGGTGGTGGCTGTTTGTGAATGCAATCAATTTGGTGTATAAAATCTGACTCTAGCATTGTTCTTTAGTAAGTTAACGTTTTATTTAATGCTCCACAATATACAGAACTGCTTGGATAGTATCCTTTTTAATATACAACAGTAGCACAGAAAATGTACAAGAGAAGGATTGTGGCTCCACACAGAAACAAGACTGTTTTGCTGTGCAAACTCTTACGCCAGCAGTTCCCTAGTAATATTTGCAGCATAAACTTATTACAGAGCCTGAGGGGCTTGTTTATTTCTAGGCAGCTCCTCTCCATCTAGGTGCTTCTATTTTGGGGGGCTTATGTGTGTCTGGGTTGAACTGTTCACATGAAAAATTGTATATTATCTTGCTAATTGGCAATAATTCTGTCCTAAATGGGGAAGCCTCCAACATAACCTGTTCTGCAAATTAGAGAACTGTGCCTCTCAGAGCTTTATATTACCAGGCTTCCTCCAAGCAAGAAACCAGCCAGCATTTGTCACTGAAAAGTTATTTGATTTAGACAGAGCCCACTACCATGGGAGCACTTGCTGTGCACCAATCCTTGAAAGGAGGCAGTAACACTCACTTGAAGATATCCCCTGCTGCCGCTCTCATGATGTCAGTCTCTGGTGTTATCAATAGTGGTTGTGGGGTGTGGCAGCAATGTGGCTTTACCGCCTCATATCTGGGGTGGTTTGGAGGGCATGGTCCCCACAGCTGCTGGCATTCAGCTTGCTCCATGCCTTTCCTGTTGTCTACACATCCAAATTAGGTTTGCTGAACTTAGAGGTGCAACATCTGTGAGTGATCATGGATGGCGCATCAACTTGTACCAGTCTTGCTGGAGTCCACAGGAAAACTCAGAAGACTTGTTCCCTCTCATTCCCAACTTAGGCAGCAGATGGAACATGAGAAGGAGTGCATGATTAGAGAGAGAGATTTCTGGCTGGGACTGAAAAGACTCTTCCTCACATAGGGGATATGAGAGGAAAAGGGAGGTGTCTAAGGGATGGTCTGCCTCCTCCTTGAGGACTGTTTGATTGTTGCCTCATTGACTGGACCCTGGATATAGCTGTAAGAGGCTATTTCCTCTTGTGTTGCAGTTAGTTTTTACTGAACCTAGGACCTTGTTTGCTGTTTGGTAAACCAAGGACCAGCTGCAGTGTTTTTAGGTGCCTGCCCTGACATCTTCTGCTTCTACTTGAGAAACAGAACAGGTTAAGGCGGCTGCTTGCATTAAGAGGCCTAGAGTGTAGGTGATGGGAGAGAGCCATAATACAATGAGGACTGGGACTTCTGACAGTCAGCACGTGGAAGGGGGCAGGTGGCCAACATGGGTAAAGCCCATTCATCTTCCCTAGTCCAGTGCTGCTCAACCTTCCAGCCCTGTGGGCTGGATGAATAGTGCAAGGATGGTCCATGGGTCAGATTCAGCTGCAGTGACTCCATGTACTAGCCCTACTCCATGGGCCACATCTGGCCCAACCCAGTCTAGCATGTTTGACCCATGTCATCTGGCGCACAGGGCTCCCTGCAGGTCTGGAAATTTGACAGCGAGAGAGCAGTGGCAGCATTAATTACCATGACTCTGGCACTTAATGCTGCCACCACTCCCCTGCTGCCAAATTTCCAGATGTGTGGAGAGCCCCACAAGCCAGATGACAGTCCTGCAAGCTGGATCTGGTATGGGCTGGGTTGAGCACAACTGGCCCAATCTCAAATGGATTAGGTATGCCTTCATAGAATCATAGATGTCGGGTCTGAAGGGACCTTGTAGATCTTCAAGTCCAACCCCCCACCTGGGCAGGAGAAAAAAAACTGGGCTCAAATGATCCCAGCTAGGTAGGCATCAAGCCTCCTCTTAAAGACCCCCAGGGTAGGAGCCAGCACCACTTCCCGTGGAAGTTGGTTCCAGATCCTAGCCGCCCTGACCGTGAAGTAGGTCTTGCGGATGTCTAATCTAAACCTACTCTTCAACAACTTGTGGCCATTATTCCTTGTTATGCCAGGGGCCACTAGGGGAAACAAGGTCTCTCCCAAACCCTTCTGGTCCCCCCTAGTGAGTTTATAGATGGTCACCAGGTCCCCCTCAGCCTTCGCTTGTGAAGGCTGAACAGGTTCAGGTCCTGCAGTCTCTCATTGTAGGGTCTGCCCTGTTGTCCCCGGATCATGCCTTGTGACCCGGGTGTCCTTCCTTGTCAGTAGATTCACCTCCTGTGGATTTGAGCTTGCTATGATCTCTTATCTGTTCCATTTTTAATTAATCAAGTAAGTCTGTTTACAGCATAAATAAATATGTGAAATCAGCTATAAGTCCCAGCACAGAGACTGCTACAGCTGCTGTGGCAAGTCTAAGGGGGGCAGCCCTTAAGTTAGTCGTCTTAGCCCTGAAGAAAACAGACCCAAGGTAGCAAACCTTAAGTACAGCAGGTTTTTTACACCCTCCACCCCCCAACCCTGCCAAACAATTCAATATCACAGACTAGCCTAGGCTCTTTGAGCGCAGACAGAAGTGCAGCTCCCTGCTGTAACTGAGAAGGCTTTGTTCTGAATTAACAATTCACCAGACCAAGCAGAAGTTCACTGCTGGGTCCAAGGGAGAGGGGACTCTAGCTGCGTTGCAGCCTGCACTAGTTTCCCTCAGCAAGGGTCCCTGCCAGCCCTGGCTGTTTGCAAAATGAGGTGGGGCGGGGGGGGGCTCTTTCTAGGGGTTCCCCAGCCAGCACTGGAGGGTGGGGGTGAATTGCAGCTCCCCTGCCTCAGGGGGCTCCAATACACTCACCCAACCCTCTAGTGGGGGCCGAAAACCCCCCAAACCAAACTCCCCCTGCAACTTTTCCCCTCTCTCCCATTCTGAAAACACTGACAGGTGGGGGGACAGTGCAGACACAAGTTGCATACGATATTCTGTTTTAAAATGTCTTCATCTGACCCCTCATGCAGTGAAGGTTCAGATTGTCACCTGGTCAGCCATTTTTAATTAGTCTTCAGCCATACACTTATGTTTGGTCATGGCTATAGACCACTTTCTGTGGCCGTTCAGGTGAAAACTGTCACTTCTGTCTGCGTCCCTCAAAAAGTTGCATAGTCAGCCTTGGTACTAAACACCAGAAAGAAACATATGAGAAATAAACCATTTCTGAGCTTACAAAAAGGATAATTTTACAATAAAGCTCAGTGTTTCCCTTCTTTTCTCTGAACCCTGTCTCCCTTCCTAGCACAGTGAGGGACCTGTGAGCACCTGAAATGGCTTATCCTCTGCTACAAACACCTCCCTGAGTGAAGACACCTGTTTGTGGAGGCACCGCCTCAAGAAAGCTTCTGTTTGAAGCCTGCATTGTACAAGCATAATTCAGCTACCCACTAGCTCAGCTTATCTACACTGCAGTCTTGGATACACTTTCTATGCCCATGTATCCTGTCAATTCCCTCACTTGCTGCCTTCCAGTTGCCTGCTCAGGCTGCTTCTGTAACATGTAAGTGCATTTCCTATTACAATTAAAAAAAAATAAAATGCTAAATACAAAAAACGTACACATGCTGATGGTCAGGGCCATTGCCACAGGTAGAGGCACAGAGTTTACAGAAAGGTCTTTATCTTGGGAGCTTTCAAAAAGCTCTTCCTGGCACTAGAGAAAATGGACCTGAACTTGAGAAACAGCTGAAAAATCAGCATTGTTCTTTCAGTGAGAAGCACAGATTTCCCTAGCTCAGGGCAGAGTTTTGAATAGGTATTTTCCCCTTCCCTGAGAGCAGGAAGTTCCCTGAGTGGATCATACAGACTCTATTTTATCTTTTTCTCTTCTTACAATCAGATAATTTATTTGTTTTTAAATTAGTATCGTATTGCATTGATTACCCTGCACCCTGTGACTTTGTGGTGCAGGTCATGCTGCAGGAGTAGAGTGCTGTGTGTATTCCTACTTATCCTCCAAGGGGTATTCCATGCATTGCTGGTGTCCATCTTAGCAGTATAACCTCCTCTCCCTCTGACATGTGGTTATGGCCCCAGCAGCTGGAATTAGGCAGCATTTCTAAGGTCACTTTTTGGTTTTGAAGGTTCCCAAGAGTTTGGGCATGAATTTTCCCATTTTCTTGTCTTTGGCATCTGTGTCGTATTCCTCTTCACTGTGACTTGTTTGATCTTCCTTCTTGCAGAAGACCTCAAACCTACTATAGACTCGTTTCTCCTTCCGCATGCTCTCCATTTTTTTCAGAAGGGTGTCACTGTCCTCTGATGGTTGCCTCTGAAGATTCCGCCTGTGGCTGCTAAAACTCTCTGATCTGTTTATATTGCAACTTCTCTCTTTCTCACCTTTGCTCTCCAAGCTGGTAGTGGACTTGGAAAGATCAGGGTTACTAGTAGATGGTAGTTGCCTGGCTAGTTCAGCTCTGTTCTTTTGACTATTGGCAGAAATTTGCTCCAAAATTACCTTGGTGTCATCACGGAGGTTGCTGCTATATAGGGCATTAGCTGTGGATGAAGCAAACCTGGTCTGAGGAACTTGGTTGGTTTTGGGGGCAACTGTTGTGAACTTCTGAGATTTCTCTTCCTCCATCATGTCTTGGCTAACCCCCTGAGAAGTTCGTTTGAAGGTCATGTTCTGTTTGTCAGGCTTCCCACTCTCAGGAATAGTTTCCTCTTCTGATTTCTTTTCATTTTTTGGGTGCAGGAACTGTTTCAGCCTTAGTGACCCTTTCCTTAAAAACTCTATTGGATTTGGCTCCTGTTTCGAGCCTTCTTCCTCAGACATATTGAGAGAGCTCTCAGATCCATGTTTCTTGGATAAACTCTCAACAGTTGATGTAGTGCTTATCCTTGCCTGTGATTTCTTTAGTTCTGCATTCAGTTTCTGGGTGTCCTCTTGGAGCATCCGCTTTTCCTTCTTCTCTGGAAGAGCAAGTTTCTGCGTGTCTCCTACAAATAAAAGGCTCTCCTTCTCTGGAAGAGCAGGTTTATTCTCTACGGAGCAGAACCGAGAAGCCAGCTTGTTCTCTTTATTTCTAATATGTACTATGGGATCTTTGCTTAATGTTTCAAGCAGCCTGGTGGCTGATGGAGCCATGCCAAACTGCTTCTCAGCATCTGTGTGCATTTTATAAGTAGCACATGCTTCTTTTGTGTCTACCATCCTGCTCTCCAAGATCTTGTATTGCAAGGATTTTGTACATTTCTTCTCTGCATTCTGTGATTCTTCCTGGAGAAAACTGGAAACAGCTTTGGTGTGGCTGACTGTATCTTTGCCCCCTGTTTTGCATTTCTCCAAGAGCTCTGCCACTTTAGCAGAAGTGGTTGTCTTTATCGTTTCATTGTCTCTTATTGTTTCACTGGACATTTGCTCCTTTTGGATCATCTGAACCTTCTCTGCTGTGTTCTGTGGCTCTAACTTGGCAGCACTAAAAATCAAAGAGGACCTGAGTCTTGAGGTTCTCTGGATTATTGGATTTATCCTGGACCTGAAGGAATCCTGTTTCACAAGGGAGGCGTCCTCACCTGCCTTGTCAGCACCTGGAGATTCTTTAGCACTGTTGAGTGCCAGTGACTTGCTAAATGGCAGGGGGGACTTGAAGGCTGGGAACAGGTCACTGGTGAACTTTGGGATGGGCTCCCCTAGGACATCGTTATAGGCCTCAGATTCCATTGGCATTGGGAGACCTTCTCCTGGCTCAGACTGGTACCCACTCAGGTAGGAAGAAATCCTCCAGTTGCGCAGACCAGTTCTATTTTCCTGGACTTTCTTGTCCTTATCTGGATCCTGGTCTTTGTCTTGTAAAAACAAGCGTTGTTCCAGGCTGTATTTCTGTGTGGGTGATGTCTGGCACATAAATTTCTGCCCTATGTTTTGCCTCCTTAGAGCCATTGTTCCCAGTGGGCCATTGCCTGCAGGGTTCATGTGGTCTGAGCCATGCTTCACTTCCCTGGAAGAGTTTGAGGGTACATAATCCAACCGCAAGGGGAAGCCCTCATGTGGGAGATTGGATTCAAGTTCAGGGTATCTGGGGCCCTCACCATAGTCCTCCAGCTCATTGAACCCTGCCCTGCCGCCTCGGATTCTCTCAAAGAGCCCTTGAGGCCTACCAGCAACATGGGGATGTTCAGACTGATCCTGGTAGAACTGGTCCTTCTGAAAATGGCTGGACTGGATTTTAAAGTCATCCAAGTTGTTCATAAACATCTGCCTGGAAAACTGCCTCAAGGAGGAAAAATTTTCAAATGTTCCTTCAGCAAAGCTGTGCCGCTTGAAGGAATCCAGCTCCAGCTGCTTGGCACGGAGGAGCCCCCGGCCTGGATCCACCTGAGAGTTCTCCATTTCCACCTTTTTATACATGCGCATGGCAGACCCCTCCATGGTGTGGCGCATCAGGTCATCCCGCCTGAAATTAGACAGGAAGAATCTGTCTTGATCCACTCTGTCCATGAAGGCAGGCAAGAAATTGTCCTCCCTTGGGAACAGCTGGGGTGGGTTGTTTGGAAAGAAGGGTGAATTGTTTCCAAAGGGGGCAATAGGAAATGAATTCTCTGCCTTCACCAACACATTGGCTGGAGGAATGAGGGGTTCTGACTGTGCAAAGAGGATGCGGAATTCTTCGTCGAAGCTGGACACCAGCTCCCCCTGGAAGATGTGTGCAATGCTCCTGTGAATCTTCTCAAAGGACCACATGAAGCTGCAATAAGAAATGAGAACGAGAAAGGTTAGCACCTGGAGTATCACTTCACGGGTACCATGTCCACTGTGCATTGACTGGCCATCCTTCTGCTGGCATCAGGTACCACTGGCAGACTTCTACTAGATACAGACATTCCTAGACCTAATAATTATTGATTTTATGGGGCATCAGAAGCACAGGGGATTCTACAGACCAGTACAGGAGCCAGACCCAGAGGTAAAGGGCTCATGTTCTCATTTGAGACATACAACATAGCTACTGATAACAAGAGACCAGAGGAAAACAGGGAGAAGGGGAGATAACTGCATAAGCATATTTTACCATTACTCGTATTTGGTGATGAATTATTTTTGTTTTATCATATAAAATATGTTTAAAGCTATTTTCATTATTCCTTTCTCAATAATGTATTCATCCAAAGCTTGGGCACAGAGGTGAGGGTGGGCCTGCAAGGAAGAGACCCATTTTTCACAAATACTGTCTTGCTATTCCCACCAGAGCCTGCACTTGTCTGCAGAGGGAAATTCAGGAAAATCATCTTTTAAAGTGGCTTAGTCAAGCTACATTAAACCTCTGGGTAGATGTTCTCAGCCAAAAGTAAAGGGGTCTTAATTCAGCTTAGTTTTATCTGCTTTGGAAATTAATCAATATTGTCTGAACTCTGAAGTGAGTGTGTTTTAATGTGGTTTAACTCATCAACTTTGAATTAACATATTTAATTAATTTAGAATGATTTTTTTCCCTAAGTGTCCTGTGTAGATGAGCCTTTACTACAGCCTGGTCCCTGCTGATGTATTTCACATCAGGAAGTGATTAGGAGATAGAAATATGCCTACTAGCAAAGATTGGAACTCAGGCCTCCCTATACTAGGTGAATTCCTCACCACTGAGCTACAGAGCCAGGCTCCCTTGTTTTTGCTCTCCTTCTGGCCCCAGATAGGGTAACCAGGTTGTTTTACAGACTGGTGACTGGGGCTGTGGTGTGGATGTGAATTCAGGGGTGAGAGCACTAGACGACTCATCCCTGGACAAGTGTTTATCTCTCAGGCTTCTGTGCAGAAAGTGGTCTCAAGGGTGTGTGCATCTAGGATTCAGGCAATCCTGTCTCAGTGGTGGTGGTTCCAGGCTCTGAATCCCAGTTTCATATAGGTGTCTAAATGCTGCCCAGGCCCAAGAAAGAGGAGTGGAATTTTAGCTTTGCTCTTGCTATGGGCTGGCTTAGGCACTGACCTCCCCAGAACTCAGCACATGTAGTGTGATGGACACCAGCCCCAGGCACAAGAGTCTCCCCATTCAAGCACAGGGAGCTAACATAGGTGCCCTTCATGGTTTTTTCAGTTCTGTATCCAGAGCTGGGAACCTATCTTTTAGGTAAGTGAAAGCTCAGGGTTGCCAAGCCCAATCTCTTCTTTTGGATTTGGGCCTGAAAGGCTTTGGCTTGTTTAACTGAGTGAAACAAAGATTGAAGGGATGTGATTGGTGTCCAAACTCATCACTGCAATAAGCACCAGGGAAGAATGATGCTGGCATTGGAACAAACAGGTACACACAAGCATTGAGTAAATTTGGGCTGAAAATTAAAAGAAAGTTTGTAACCATCAAGACAGTGAGGTTCTGGATCAGACTTTAGACAGGAGTCATGGGGACAGGAAACCTGGTGAGGTCTAAGATGGAGTTTAGTGAGGTTGTACCTGGTGAGGTCTAAGATGAAGTTTAGTGAGGTTGTAAGTGGGATCACAAAATGCAGGTGCCTGTCAGAATGAGGAGCTGCTGGTGCAGGAGGACCCTTCCAGTACCAGTGTTCCCATCTGCACTCAAGCACTGACCACTATCCCAGAATTGTTCCTATGCTAGTCATACACATTGTTCTTCACATCCTGCCTTTTCATGCACAACATTTTTAGCTACTTAAATTGTTTTGTGACAGCACTTCTAAGACAGGCTTAGCAATGAGCCAAAAATCAATTATAATTTGACTCTGTCTCTCTACTGGTTTCTCTCAGAGCACAGCTGTTGAGGCAACAGCCCAGGCTTATTAGAGCTAGGCACTTTCTAGACTGTCATTGGCAAACCTGGTGTCTGCAATGCCTCTGGGCTCTGAAGTGAACTGTAGCAGCTACCAACCTTCATGCAGACATCGTAAGTCCTGGATGTGAAAGATGCTCAGTGGCAGTTTTCTGTACAGCTGCTCTAGCTACAGAACTGCCTGTCTTCCCCTGGAACTGCTGCTGTGCTCCATAGGGCTGTGCAGTTCCGTTGCTGCTGTGTTTGAAGCCGACATGGCAAGAACCCACCCCTCCTACCAGCCTTTTCCCTTGAGGGAGAGGGGGCACATGGGTCCACAGCTGCTCCTCACCTGTAGTTACCGCTCAGCACCACCATGCAGTCTACCAGCAGGAACTTCTCTTTCAAGTGGCCTTGGAATGACATCCCCGTGCGACAGTAATATGTGGGACCAGCCACTGTCCGCACCCGGAGGAACTGCAAGCCAGCAGAGACGAGATTGAGCCACCCCAGGCAGCAGCTGCCCCCTGTTCCCTTCAGCTCCCCTGCCTCCCATAACATCAGCACTAGCTTTCCATCCATCTGCCTTCTGTCCAGCTGGCGTATCTCACTGTGCTTCCAGCCAGGCCAACCACAGCCCTCACTGCCACCCCAGTGCTGGGCCATTTCTCCCCTCTTGTCCAGATTCCCCTCAGCCTTGCAGCAGAGACACTGCGCCCTCCTCCTCAGCTTTTTATATAACACCAGACCACACACTGTGCCAGCACCAATCCTTTCTTGCATCCCCTCTTATGCTCACATCCACATAGTTCAGGTTGACTTTGCACTTAGCAGCTGCATCCAAGAAGAGTTGAGAGTTCATTTCATCCAGCAGAATATAAACAGGGACCCTGCGAGCAGCAGCATCCAGCACTTCACCCAGCAGATCCACATCCGTAAAAATGTCCATTACTATAGCTACCACCTTTGGGGAAGACAAAGAGAGGGAGAAAGAGAGCAAGGGCATTACAGTTCTGTGCCTGCCTACATGTGACCTCTCACTGATGGCTGCTTAATTAAAAAA